GGGGGGGACTTGGCAATGTTTGTTTTTGAATTGTTGTTTTTGTTTGTTTTTTTTGCTGTTTTGCGTTTTTGTAAAAATGTAAGCCTGTCCTACAGAACCCAGGTTGACTTTGGCGGGCAGGGTTGAAGGAGTCGGCTTACTACGAGATAAAAATTATTCCAATTTGTATATAAAACTTTTGCAATCAACCGAACTCGTCTGAATCCGAAATAAAATTGTCTTATACAGTGTCCTTATAATGTTAAAAGTACCCTAGGGGGGAAATGGGGAGTGGCCGTTTGTACTGGAGACTGCCTTATACCGGTGGCCGTTAGAACTGATTTGACCGCACTGTAATTTTGACGAAGTTTTTGACTATGTAGGAGTGAACAATTCACAGGATACTCACAAGGATTGAAGGATTCACAGGATATCAAAGATAGTACTTTTCAAGATGGTTCACTCAGCCAAAAAAGTGTCCGCAGAAGTCCGCGCATTGGTTCAGATGGCGCTGCAGTCTTTGTTTTAAAGCTCTCTTTCGTTTCTCCTGCAGAAAAATAGGAATAGCACCCCCTTGCGTGCGCAGATCGACTGCTGTTCATCAGCTGTTCGGGTTCGTTCAGTGAGGAGTTTTAGGTTGTAGTTTTGTTTATTTTGTTGACCTCTCGCCTCTCATTCTTAAGTCAAATAAAAAGAAAGAAAACAGTAGCCTCTTCCACCGGAGGAGTTTTTTTTTTTTATCAGCGTTACCATTTGAAAAAAAAGCATTTTTCCGAAATTATAATTCTAATTTATTCACTTTGATTTTTTTCACACAAGTAGGGTAACTCTATTCACAAAAGGTGCGCTTTTCCGAAGAGGACGCCCCCGGCTCTTTTAATTGGCTCAAAGAGAGGAGTGAACTATCTTAGTAGGTACTATCATTGAGGATACTCACAAGGATCGACGTCGAAAAAGCCTCCGGACGTGTCAGAGACGATGGAGTAGTGGATGGGGAGACCTTCCGGGTCTGACGCTTGCACTGTGTACACAAGGTCACCGAGGTTGGTGTCTTCTGCGCTCACGTCTTTGCTGACAGCTGTGAAAAAACAAGGCATGGATTGATACTGGGATTGATACACTGACCTGAGCAGTTCTGTCCCCGTCGTTTTAAGCGAGAATAATTCTGCAATTATGCAAACTGAGCCGATTCTGTTCATTGTAACAAAGAATGATAAAGGAAAATAATCAGAAATTATGCAAAAAATTATCAAATTTTGCTAAATTAAGCGGGGTGCATGAAACCACGGGGACAGGCAGTTGACTACGGATGAGTTGATGTCGTCGGG